AAAAAAAAAAAAAAAAAAAAAAAAAAAAAACTAATATATTCATTTTTCCTTTTGATGGAAGGATATAGCAACGAGGGTAATTGCTTGTGGAGTTAATATTGAAGAAACACCAGTGTCCAAAGTTATGACGAGGAATCCAGTCTTTGTTCTTTCTGACACCCTAGCCGTGGAAGCCCTCCAGAAGATGGTTCAAGGTTCTTATGCTTCTGAGAAGCACATTCACATTTTAATGTGCCGTGCTGTTTGGTACTTGGTAGTGATTCTTGCTATGTCGGTCTGATATTTGTGTGAACAGGAAAATTTAGACATTTGCCTGTAGTTGAGAATGGGGAGGTCATTGCATTACTTGATATTGCGAAATGTTTATATGATGCTATTGCACGAATGGAAAGAGCAGCTGAAAAGGGAAAGGCAATTGCAGCAGCAGTTGAAGGTGTTGAAAAAAGTTGGGGAGCCTCTGTTTCTGGTCTGTGGATTATCATCTCCTAGGATATTAATACCTTCCAAAAACAACTCTAAATTGTGCTATTATTGATGTACAGGTCCTAATACTTTTATCGAGACACTTCGAGACCGTATGTTCAGACCATCTCTGTCTACGGTACTCCCTGAGAATTTAAAGTAGGTAATACTTTTCTTGGTGAAAAATATTTGGTTTTTAATATCATCTGCATCGCGTCTTTTATTGACGTTTCATTTTCCAGGATTGTTACAGTTCCACCAACAGAAACAGTTTTGATGGCAACAAAAAAGATGCTTGAACTTAGAGTGAGTTCTGCAGTCGTGACAGTTGATAACAAGCCACAAGGAATTCTCACGTGGGTACCATCATAATTCTTCTTCATTTAGGATTTTATAATTAGATACAATTTCACGTATCCTGATATTTTGTCTTTTACAGGTCAAAGGATATTTTGATGCGATTAATAGCGCAAAATCTTCCACCAGAATCCACACTTGTAGAGAAGGTAATTTCTTTCAGCTAGCATGGAGTATAAAGGAGTGTATTGCCTCCCCTCCTGTCAGTACAGTTCTACTGGTTAAATTGAAAGGGGGTGCTGGTTTAGAATGGGGTTCGGGCGGAGATAAATACAACAGAAATTGCAAGATGAATAGATATAAGAGAAACATTACTCTGTATCTTGTAAATTTTGTTTTATTCTCGTTGATTATGCCACATTTGTATTCTTCAGAACTGAATATCACCTCTCTCCGTTTCATGTTGAAGGTCATGACTCCACATCCTGAATGTGCGTCAATTGATACTCCGATAGTTGATGCTCTGCACACTATGCATGATGGAAAGTTCTTGCATCTTCCAGTGATAGACAGAGGTAACGTTTATGTAGTTCTTAATCCTAAGAACAAGAAAAGGTTTCATCTGTGAGCTTAAGCCTATCGTCTTTACTTCTGATACTAACGGTTAATTGGCTGCAGATGGAAACGTTGTTGCTGTAGCTGATGTAATACATATCACCCATGCTGCCGTTGCCACGGTGAGTTCATTAACTTTTGAAACCTTTTGTTTGTTAGTATCGTTGATCTTATTTCTTGATATTGCAAAAGTAAGTGTTAGAACACGATGATATAAAAGATAGACTATGGTCGAGCTATATCACTTTCAAATGGCTATTAAGATGCTCCTGGAAGTGTGGTGTCCAAATTCTTAAGCACGTTTTCCATGATAAGATTTGGAATTTGAAATTAACAGTGTTGTTATTTTCCCAAGAGAAAAATGATCTACGAGTGAGCAGTGTCGTTTGAATTGTCAAGTTGGTATGGAGAAATATTAGACCTTTTGATGTTCTTTGAAAAGTTTTCTATATTTTGTAGCAATAAGAATTGCTCTCATACATGCGGAAATTCAATGCCTTTCCATACATTATTTTTGTATTTAAATAGTCTTATTTTTGTTACTCCTTTATTGTTTGTTGTCTTCATGTTTAAGCGTCGTTAACTAAAATCATCAAGATTCCCCCTCCAGTTTTCTTATGTTCTGCGCCAGCTCTAGCAAGTAACCCGCAATCTCCTCTTCCAGTTCGAAATCTTTGAAGCATGAGGGCTACGTTTTTCACGTCTCTGAATTTTTTGATTTACAGCCTCAAGGGCTAGATAAATTGGTTAATATTATAGGCTCGAGGATTTAACCTAGTAGTCTAGTGTTAAGACCCTGTCGGCCATCTACTTGGGATTCAACCTAGTGAACATTGATGGGGTGGGGATTTTTAGGGACGAAAAACAAAACAATTGTTGACTCGTTTAAAGTCTATGAACTAATGAGCCTCTGGCAGGGAAAAGAAATATTTTAAAATTTTAAAATTAATATAGAATATTTTGGCCGGACTTTGAACAATGTATTTAAATTGCTTGCAGCTTTATAATCTATAATTGTGAAGATTTATGTGACTTCGGCATTCCTTCGTGATTAGGTTGGAAATGCATCTGGAATTGGCAATGAGGCTGCAAGTTCTATGATGCAGAAGTTTTGGGATTCTGCCATGGCCTTATCGCCAATTGAGGATGAAGATGAATTGCGTAGGTTGTGATTGTCAAATAGTTATTACCTTATATTTTTGTAGTTAAAGTTATTTATTTATCTCACACGTTCGTGTGACATTTCAGTGAAAGTTCAATGAGATTGGCTTCTGAGGAAACGGATTTTGTTAGACCTCTTCCCTTTCCATCATCTGGAATGTCAAATACTTTTTCTTTTAAACTTGAAGATAGGAAAGGTCGCATGCATCGATTTTCTTGTGGTATGTTTCTTGTTCTATTTTCGTTGTCTGTCAAATAAGGTAAGATTATTTGTATTTTTAGTAGTAAACTTTGATTGGTAAGACAGCTATGGATGGCTGAAAAATTGGAAGCAAAGCTTGTTCCCTTTTTTCCTTCGTATCTTCCTAGCGAGCTTTTCCAAGTTCGTAGTTAATTTCGGCCTTAATATCCGTTTAAGTTGGCCTGACTGGATTTCTTTGTTGTTCTATCCGAGAGAAGAAACTCGGAATTTAACAGATGTTATAACAGCAATTCTTCAGAGAGTTGGCAATGATATTGACCGCAACCAAGTGCCTCAGATTTTGGTACTCACTCGGACCGATATTTCCAATCTCTTTATTTGGCTTGACATTTTCGTGTTTCCATTATATAAATTGCAACTTATTGATAGCCCACATTTTGTAGTATGAAGATGAAGACCGCGATAAGGTTGTTCTAGCAACAGACGGTGATCTTGCAGCAGCTGTAGAACACGCAAGGTTGGCCGGGTGGAAGGTACCGCATTGGATCATTATTTGTGAATGACGATTTATGCTTGAAAAGAAATGGTTAAACTGAAGTAAAGGACGTGGTGGTTTTGCGCAGTGTCTGAGATTGCATTTAGAATATCCAGGTAGTCACGGTCGCAAACGGGGTTCGGGTGCGGGAATTATGGATTATGCTCAAAGAGACGCATGGGCGTCGGCGTACAGTGCAGTTGCAGCCGGAGCCGCCCTTGTTGCGGGGTTAGGCGTGTTAGCATACATGAGAAGATCTGGTAATTAATTAATAAAATTCATACACATGCTTTTCAATAATTTTGGCCCGAGTAACCTCCGAAATTTGAGCCCTTATTGGGAACAGTCGGAAGAGCCTCGGTGCTTGTGCTTATAATCTGTTTTGGTTGAAAAGGTCATATTTTTTTATGAAGAAAAGTTGTTAAGTTATGGGATTGTTGATTGTGTGCATGAAAGAAATGCCATTCCATTTACACCCGTGAGAGTTGACGAGATGTGGTTCATGTGTCTGAAGGTTTTGCAGCTCCATGAATTCGTGGAGATCTCGAGTATAAGTCAACTTTCTACACTCCTCCATACATAAATATTCTCTTACCTCTCATCTGCTTGCTTGATTTTCTATATGATTGTTGGTCGATGTGAATATATACCACTTCGGGCCAATGCGGAAGAACATGATCACCTTTTATTTTCTTTTTCCGTCTTGGATAAGACTATAAGTGGTGGCTCAGGCTCAAGCTCAAGCCTCCAGTTCCATTTTGAAGTTCTTTCTCCTAAAACTTTTAGCAATAAGCAGATTATTATATAGTATATTGAATACTTGTAATGTTCTTTAATTTTCTATTCATAAGTTTAAATTATATATACAAAACCAATGAAAGATGTGTCATCCGGGGAAGGGAAGGTGTCACGGGGTCGTCTCTGGTTGTCACGCGTTAAATAATAATAATAATGTTTTTTTTTTTATAAATAAAAACAAATAACAATAATGGCTGAGGTTGAAATACTTTGACAGCGAGATTTTTTTTTAATGAAATTAAAAATCCCACAAATGCATGTTATTACTGATTCCAAGCCAAACACAGTCCGTGAACGCCTTGACCTTCCTCTCTTCTTTACTTTTAAATTGCACTGTTTTTGAAACACGCAACACCAGAAACTTCTTCTGCTTCTCTCTCTCTCTGCGTATAAAGCAAAATCCGCTCTTAGCTACTCTCTCTTTCTCTCTCTCTTAGTCACGACCAGGGGATATTGCTTTTTTAAAGTGGCATTTCTCTGTAACATTCTCATCCACAATCCATTTTCCCCATTTTTAAGCGCTCTTTTGCGTTGTTGGAGTAACTTTGGCGGAGTTATCTTCTTCTGTTCTCCCTTCCCTCTGCTCGCAGTGATAGCAATGAGAGGAGGGCGAAGCAAAGTCACAGTTCACTTGCCTTTCATTTTCTTTCTTCTTCTCACTCTCTCATGGATTCCTCAACGCACTTTCCAGCAGCAACCCATCAAAACCGTGGTGGTTTTGGTGATGGAGAATCGTTCCTTCGATCACATGATCGGATGGATGAAGAAATACATCGACCCACGAATCAATGGCGTCACTGGAGACGAATGCAACCCTGTTTCAACCAAGAATCCCAACCCCGAAACCATTTGCTTCTCTGACGACGCTGAGTTTGTAGATCCGGATCCGGGCCATTCATTTGAGGACGTGTTGCAGCAGGTATTTGGCTCTAATTCCATTCCTTCCATGTCTGGCTTTGTGGAACAGGCTCTCTCAATGTCATCAAACCTCTCTGAAACTGTTATGAAAGGCTTCAAACCTGAAGCTGTGCCCATTTATGGAGCTTTGGTTCGTGAGTTTGCCGTGTTTGATAGGTGGTTCTCTTCAATTCCTGGCCCAACTCAACCCAATAGGCTGTTTGTTTATTCTGCAACTTCTCATGGTTCAACAAGCCATGTGAAGAAGCAATTAGCTCTCGGGTATCCCCAGAAAACTATTTTCGATTCACTACATGAGAATGGCCTCGACTTCGGGGTTTACTTCCAGAACATACCCACTACCCTGTTTTACAGAAACTTGAGGAAATTGAAGTACATTTTCAAGTTTCATCCCTACGATTTGCAGTTCAAAAAGGATGCTAGAAATGGGAAGCTTCCCAGCTTAACTGTGATCGAGCCACGGTACTTTGATCTTGTGGGAATGCCTGCAAATGATGACCACCCATCCCATGATGTTGCAAATGGGCAAAAGCTGGTGAAAGAGGTTTACGAGACTCTGAGGGCTAGCCCACAGTGGAACCAAACCCTTCTGATAATCACTTACGATGAGCACGGTGGATTTTTTGACCATGTCAGGACTCCTTTCGTCAATGTCCCGAATCCTGATGGAAACACAGGCCCTGCTCCCTATTTCTTCAAGTTCGATCGGCTTGGAGTCCGTGTGCCTACAATTATGGTTTCGCCTTGGATTAAGAAAGGGACTGGTAAGCCAAGTTCTTCTCACCCCTTAATGTTCTACACTGAATCAACAACCCCTTACAACTTGAAATTGAACCTTATAGTTCTACTCATCTCTCAACAAAAGCAAAGGACTCTCACATGGGTCTGGTCGGTGTTTTTTCTCCTCGCGTGGTTTACAGTCATCCCAGGCTGGCTACTTGGGAAGCCAGTGCCAGGTCGGTGGTGGGAATCCTGAGGCTCCCTCTGGCCAAAGAGTTGGTTGGAATTGGGATCCACGCCAGTTGGAGCTGTTGGGATGAAGATGGTATAGGAACTTAATTAGTGACTGGAAAGAAGGGTGATGCTTGTTTTAGAGTCTGCATCATCAAAATGACTTTATCACATACAAATAGTTGATTGGTGTGTTTATAGCTCTAACTTTCTGTTTGTTTTGCAGTTATAAGCAGTCCCAAGGGTCCTACTCCAAACTCTGAGTTTGAGCATTCCTCAATTCCTGCTACCATAAAGAAAATATTCAATCTCTCCTCTAACTTCCTGACTCACAGAGATGCCTGGGCTGGGACATTTGAGGACATTGTTGGCCAGTTAACCTCGCCACGAACAGACTGCCCAGGTATCATCAATCTATACCGGTTGCGGCACATCGACATTTTCCCAATTGTATACAGAGTTAATCTGATTTCTAATTTCATATTTCGTTAATCTCCCGAACACTTACTGCAGTAACCTTGCCCGAAGTGACACCGTTGAGGAAAACAGAAGCTAACGAAAACAGTGGAGTTTCCGAGTTTCAGAGCGAGGTTGTACAGTTAGCTGCCGTTCTAAATGGTGATCATTTCCTAAGCAGCTTCCCTAATGAAATAAGCGAGAAGATGACGGTTAAAGAAGCACATGACTACACTAGAGGAGCTGTTTCGAGGTTCATCAGAGCAAGCAAAGAGGCAATCAAGTTGGGTGCAGATGAATCTGCCATTGTGGATATGAGATCTTCCCTTACTACAAGATCCTCAATGCACAACTGAATGCATTCTTCTTCGATGGTATAAAACCCCTACACGGCCACAAATTCTTATTCCAGAGGAGCTAGATTTTAGAACTTGCGAACAAGTGTAACTATGTTTCATACGCTGATACCATATGGTTGTTTCTGTGTGCATCCAAGTGTGTTAAGAGTGTTTAATGGGTTTCTGTAGATGATTTCTAAGAAAAACTAAGGTAATCACTACACACGAGTGTCGTTCATTGAAATAGTCAACAAATTTTCTTATATAAAAGGATTCTTCTGCTTCATGGAAATATTGAACCTTTTATTCCCGGTACTTGATTTATCAGAGCCTTAAGTTATATTAACAATCTAGTGCCAATGGCAGATTTATAATCCCAGTTTCATTGAAGAGATATATAAAGAAACGTTCTAATAACAGCTCATCTTATAAAGAAACAGAGCAAGACATTCTCAAATTACGACAGCTAGATTAGTGAGGAGACTCAACGCTAGTCATGTTTTTCATACAGAACAAGGACTTTGCCATGTAGATACATCAGCAACAAGTTCTCGTAGTTGATCTATCAGAAGCTTTATATGCAAGTTCTTAACCATAAGTTCCTGCAAACACACCGCAGATAGGACCCTTGTAAGATAGCAGTTGAAAGAAAAAGAAGATGTCATTTCTAGGAAGAAGCATATTACCTATAATATCCATGACAGAACCTCCATAACGTTATTAGTTTCACTATTTGATTTTCTCAATTGCCTATTTAGTTTCAAAATCTTTCCTTAGATTAGTTCTGATATACAACAAACAATAAGACAAACAGAACTGTTGTCTTGAAATCTTTAAAGACCTTCTCAGTTTCATCAATATTTGTACATATTTTAGTAAATTTTACTATATATTTACCTCCAAAGTCTTATATAAGTAAATTATTTCCAGAAATATTTGGTTCCCAGATGAAATCTTTGCCACAAAATTCTAACTGGTTGTAATCCTAAGAGTCTTGAAGAAAAAATAAATTACTGACATGAATTTACAAGCTGAAGATACAATAGAATACCTTTCTGAGATTAGAGAGGTGTTGTTCCAACTTATCAATTTCAGATTGGTCTGCAGGCGATGCATGACCGCTTGTACCCGATTCATGTGCTTTTGCCTATCAATAAACCATGAAACTCTGATTTAAGTCGCTTAATCGGCATAAGTGAACAACAAGTCAATGCAGTTAGCAATCTATCAAATTCATAGACATGGCTTAAGTCCACGCATCTATCAGCAGTGGTGAAAATGAAAACCAGGTCGAATGTAGTATCTGCAATCTATCAAATTCAGGAAGAATTTTAGGCACTCGGCGGAAATTGAATACAAAAATTCCATGTTCTCCACAAAGCATTTTGTAACATGGGGGAACCAAATATCTCCGAATCAATCTCGAATTTTGCCAAATGAGAAATGAGAAACGCTGGCTGATGAACAAAGTCCAATAAGAGGAAGATCAGTCAGTAATTTACCTTCTGAGAATTGGGAATTGCAGCAAGAATAGCACGAAGTGCAAGTACTGAATTCTTGTAGCGAACACGGGCCTCCTCAAGGGCTCCCCCACTACCGCTGCCTCCGCCACTGCTGGTGTCGGTGTGATGGTTTGTGCTTTCCGAACTTGCATCGCCGTTTACAACTCCATTAGTGGAATGCGAAGATGGAGCATTTGGGCTGGCAATTGTTAAACCAGAAGTAGTCGTTGTTGCCGTTGAAGAAGTGGTGGACCATAATGTGGGATTGCAGAGCTCGTCATTCATGGAGTATAGGATCTGGAATGCGGATTCTATCGTTTCCTCAAGATGCTTGATGCCCTCCATTGCAAGCTCTTGAGTTGTCTGGGGAAGAGACAAAACATTAGTGGGTTTCTCTTCCATCAAATTTTTCCAGAACAAAAAACAGAAGCTTTTGTGCTGCTACGCCAACCGAAAATCCACCGAATTCGTAGAGAGAGCCTTCGGAATCAACCAAAATCCCAATTCCGACTTTCAATCACACTTCTGATGTTCACATGAAACCCTAACCCTCATCGGTAAATTGAAATCGAGGAAGCCAAAAAAAAAAATAAATAAATAAAACAAATGAAATTAAAAATAATCGTCGACAGCAGGGTTCGAACCTGCGCGGGCGAAGCCCAACAGATTTCAAGTCTGTCTCCTTAACCACTCGGACATATCGACTTATTGATAAAATGGTGATTAATTATTTAAATAATATAAATATCATCAGATTTCAAGTCTAGCAAAATTGTGACAGAATGGTGCTTTCTTGGTAGTTTCTCACATAATAACGCCTTGAATTTAAAGTTTATTTCTTGATTGACTCATACCTATAGTTGCTTATTGTTTCTACCAAGCCTAGATTTGCTGCTTCAGCTACATATTCAAGATCGACCGCCTTAACTGTTAAGTTAGCTCATTTGATGGTTCAAGTTTCTTGTTATCCACAGCCTTTGCCTCGTCCTGCAGTTTCTATGATGAGATTCCTCTCGCCTCAAGACTTCACCAATGTAAATGAAACTGATGAAGATCTCATTGAATTTCTAACCATTCTTGAAACTGTCATCTTTATTGGTAGCTTAGACACAATAGTTGTGGTGGCATTGTGGGATGATTGTGTGGAACTGAAAGACAGGACAAGGATTCAGAGCACCATTGTTGACTCAAATGTTTGGGCAATTTTAAGATGCATGTACACACACAAAAAGGGTGTGAGGCAGCTTCTTTAATTTCATTGTAAGCGACAGTTTTGTCTTTGATGGCAATGTAACATAAATGCAGACAATATCTGTTCCAAAGGCAGCAGCTCTATACGGCCACATCAATGAATGCCTGCTGTGGCCTTGCTCCTAATAAGCCTTCTTTTCTGTACTCTTCTTAACTTGGCATTTCCTAAACTGCACAATCCTCTTGCATGGGGGGAAGTATCCAATGTCTGAAACGTGGTACTGACCTCTGCATTGATACTGTCTATGGCTGCCTTTTGGCACCCAAATTTCAGCTCACAACCATCTCACAGCACCCACAACACAACTAAATGGAACCGAAGCTATTTGGCTCTGAAGGGAAAGAAAGGACTTCAAAATAGTTCATCTTCACATTGCATATCTATGCTTAATCGGAAATAATCCACCTTGAGTTATGTATTGAAGCGCTTATTATTTGCGTGAAGTAAAACTAATAAGTAGTCAACTTAACCACTCTTCTTGTAAATACAATTTGGTTGCGTGTGTCTGTGTGAAGATGTTGGCATTTATTTGGGAAGAGGATAAAAAACTCATTTAAATTTTTAACTGAATTTGTCTATATTTATGCAAAAAGCATGAAATATTGCAGCCCCAATAACCAGAGTTAAAAGAAAAATAACCGTAGTTAGGGTATTAACCGCATGTGAAAAATAGTTAGGTCAATTTTATAAGCATTAGCAAAAAAATATTTAAAAGACTAGGAAAACTGAGTTGCTATATATATATTAGCCATGCAAATACCCAATTTTCTGCAGGCTGGGGAAATATTTTCACTTGGTGCCATCTGAATTGGGATTTATTTTCCCTTTTTTTTCCACATTCAAAGCGGGGTGGCACAGAGTTTTCATCGACAAAATTGTTATCCAGATTCTTCAATGCTTTCCGGCGATTCACATCTCACAAAAGGGATTTGCTGTACGTTATAATCTTTCCTTACATCCCTTCGCTTTCTGCCATTTCAGGAATATGATCCGTCGCCATTGTTATTAGATTCTACTTCAATAGGATAGAACAATGTAGGGTTTTTGCCAGGGTTACTGAAAATTGGTGTATATGAAACTCTCTGATACCGTAACCAACTGCCCAAACTTTTCTTCGATTGATTTTGTTTCGTTATTGTTTTCCGTGGAGGGGGGTGGTTCCAATGTGAAAAGGGCTTTCTCTATCTTTCGTAATTTCATTCTCTCGAACGCTCCTTCTTGTTGTTCAGCATATGTGGAAGTGTATGGGATAATGATTAGTTTCTTCCTGATAAAATGAGATCAGGGTGATCAATGAACCGGCTGCCCTTCATAAGACTTGGTTCCAGCATCCAACCTACCAATGGATGATTAAACTCTTTAAGAACTGTAGCATGCTCCTTCTGGTACATTCTGATGAAGAATGTAGGTTCCACTATTGCTTTGTTTTTCCTATGTTTTGCTGTTGAAAATGGTCTTATTTAAAAGCTTTTTTGTCTTCATTGTTGAGTTTTCTCGTTATGAAATTCTTGGATCTGATTGACTATCATAGATCTCTGATGGGGTAGAAAATGGATTTGATGGATTAGGCAAAACATTCATTGATATTTTTACATTTATAACTCTCTAGTGAAGCTGTTAATTGCTCCTGTCAATAAATTTCATAAATTTTGGCATGAATTTTGTGTCGCCTACTCTGTCTATCTAAGTATTTTCCTTTATTCCTTTTCTGCTTTTAGGGCTTTCAAGGTTTTGGGTTATTTCTTGATGGTCTATCCAAGGATATTGGTGAATTTACATTGGAGAGCAATCACGTTGATTCGATTATGCTAGCACTTCCAGAAAAGTAGGAGGATAGTCAAGTACTCATCATTAGCAGGATTCCAGTATTGAGGGGATGGATTGCAATAAGGATGATGCCTCTAAGGCCAAGCAGATTGCTGAGAAAAAGTTCGCAGAGATGGACATTGCGGCCGCAGTTAAATTTGCCTTGAGGGCTCACAGCTTGTATCCCAGCCTCGATGGTCTTCCACAATTTATTGCAAATCTGAATGTTTACTTGTCCGCGGAGAAAAGAATTGATGGATGCATTGATTGGTACAGGGTCCTTGGTGTGGATCCATTGGCTGATGAAGAAACCATTAGGAAACATTATAGAAATCTGGCACTCATTCTTCATCCTGACAAAAACAAATCAATTGGTGCAGATGGGGCTTTTAAAATTGTATCTGAAGCTTGGAGCTTGTTGTCTGACAAAACCAAAAGAGAAGCATTTGACCAAAAGCGGAATATAAGAGGTATGGCTATGAAGTCCACTGAAATTAGGTCATCAGTTCCAATTGTTCGGAATGGTTTCCATAATCTCTCCCCCAATCATAATTCGAATAGATGGCATTGGAGAAGTGATGATGAGGTCCTTTCTGCTCCAGCTTCTCATCCAGTGAAACCCACGTTTTGGACAATTTGCAATTCATGCAAGGTGCATTTTGAGTATCTCAGATCTTATCTTAATCATAATCTTGTTTGTCCCAACTGCTGCATATCCTTTTTGGCTGTTGAGAACCCATCCCCACCGTTCAATCTGAATCCGTCATCCTCTCCACGAACTTTCAACATTCAGCAACAGGCTTCCAGTGCATACAGCCATTTCAAGAAATCATTTAGTGTGGAAAAGACAGAGTTTTCTCCTAGAGGTGTGGACGCAGCAGGATATAGTAGTACCAATTCCATGCGTAAATCTTTTCAGTCTGGTACATCATGTAAGCACAGAGCAGCTGAAAGTAGGAAAACATCAGCTTCTTCAGCAGCTAAAGCTTTTAGTTTCTTCAAACCATCATCTCCAAAGATGAATATGGGGCATAAAGATGGCAAATTGGCAGCTAAGGAAGTGGAGTCTTCTCTGAGAGAAGATCACGCTCGCGACAAAGGGGATGGTGGTTTTGCCTCTACATCCTGCAATGACAGTGCCTGTTCTGCACACAAAGGAGATAGACCAAAGAAAAAAAGACGCATAACAGGGCATAAAATGTCAGGTAATATCAGAGACTTTCTTAAAAAAATGGAAATAGAAAATGGAGGGATTATAAAGGAGAGTAGCGGGTCCCAAAAATATAGCTTTGAAGGAAGAAGGTCAATCACTGGAAAATTTAGATCTGCTAATAATACAAGGGAGCTTTCCCAGCTGGAATTGCGACAGATGTTGATGGGGAAGGCTAGGAATGAAATCCACAAGAAGCTTAATGAATGGAAGGCGGACGTGTCTTCGACTATTTTGCAAAAGACAGAGAATTCTAACAAGGATCTTGTTGAAGAGAAAGAGGGGAAAAGTGTTGTTCTAAATGGTATGAAATCCAGTAAATATTTGAATACTGTGTGTCGTAAAGATGAATTGCGGACCAAATGTCCTTTACCTCCAAGTTCTGGCGAGCGTCCAGACACCAAGGCTTCTGAATCTTTCTCCATGAGTGTTCCTGATCCAGATTTTCACGATTTTGACAAGGATCGTGCAGAAAAATCGTTTGGTAGTAATCAGGTTTGGGCTGTTTATGACGATGATGATGGTATGCCCCGATATTATGCCATGGTTCGTAAAGTTATATCGTTAAAACCATTCAAAATGAGAATCAGTTGGCTTAATTCCAAAAGTAACACTGAATTGGCCCCATTGAACTGGATTGGTTGTGGATTTCCGAAGACAAGTGGGGATTTTTGGATCGGTAAGCATGAAGATTATGGCTCTCTCAATTCGTTCTCACACAAGGTTAAGCAGGTAAAAGGCAAGAGAGGAGCTATTAGAATATTTCCTAGTAAAGGAGATGTGTGGGCGCTGTATAGGAATTGGTCTCCTGATTGGAATGAGCTTACCCCAGACGATGTTATTCACAAATATGACATGGTGGAAGTCCTTGAGGATTACAATGAAGATAGAGGGGTTGCTGTTGTTCCGTTAGTTAAAGTTGTTGGATTCAAGACTGTGTTTCAGCAGCACATCGATCCATCAAAGATCCAGAATATTCCCAGAGAAGAAATGTTTCGATTTTCTCACCAGGTCCCTTCGTGCTTGCTTACTGGTCTTGAAGGTCAAAATGCTCCTTCTGGTTGCTGGGAGCTCGATCCTGCTGCAACGCCTTTGGAACTTCTTCAAGTTGCCAAGGAAGCTGAAATAGAACTAGAAGAAGCGATTCAGAGCGCTGAACAAGCTACGGATGGACATCCACTCGAGGATACAAAAACTGCTAAAGTAGCAAACCTTGAGAATAATGTAGAAACGACTATGAAAGATGTTAAAGTTAAGGATAAACTGATGATGCATAATGGAAATAAGAAAGTTCAAAAGATGATGGTGTATAGCCGGAAGCGGTTCCGGGGAAAAGTGGCAATTGGCGCCGAGTTATCAGCACATTAGAAAACTTTTGAGAAGTTGTTCTCAGATGAACATATACCATAGACATGAGGATAGCAGCAGCAAAAAGCCATACACAGTACAGCTTCTAAGCACCAATCCTCCAGCCTAAACCTTTTTTTGATTTTATTTTGTTCATTTCATTCGTCTCCTCGACCGTGAGAGATATTAATTGGCGATACATGCGGAGAAGTATTTCTTTAGTCTGGTTTTACTATCTCTGCACTGTTTGGGCTATACAATTTTGTCTAGTTTTTGACACCCTCAATACTAATTTCAGTTTCAGTTCTGTGGGGAGCTCGGAGAGTGTTGGAAAAGGCAGTTTCCTTTGGCTTTGATGGACCACATGGTATATGGCATCGTAGCTCCAGATTGATAGGCTAATTCAACTGTTTGCTCCAAAAGATGTAATTACTTTTACTTGTACATTCGAGACCCATTATGACCCAGTACAATATTCACTCTTTTTAATGATAAATCCGGTTGGTGCAAATCTGAGTTGTTGGATATACATATATCTGGATGGTGCATGGCTCTTGATTTCCTTTACAAATTCTTGCTTCCTTGCTTGGCTGCCTACAGAGAAAGCAACTCAAAGTCAAATGATCCGAAGAGAAGAGGAATATATGTTAATTATGGAAAGCTGTTTATAGTTCCATTTTGATTGTTGCCTCTCATATGTTTTTTGTGTGATGGGGTAGTAGGAATGGAATATATAATGATGATCTGTTTGAGGAGATTGAAATAGATTTCACAATCTCACAGCGTGTTTGACTGGAATCCAAATCTGATCTGTTGAAAGGAGAAGGCTAAATGTGAAGCCCTAACACTCATAAATTATGGAAGAGGTACATTCTTATTCTGTTGTGTTCATTTAACGTTGCAGGAAAATGAAGGGCGCATAATATGCGGTCTGCCTTCCAAAGCATCAATAACTGGGTACGCACTTTGACTGACTGAATTAATATGTGTGAAATTTTGTTGAACAGCAACAGTTTTGGTTGTTCACAGTTCATTCTTTGAGCTTTGTAGAAAACAAATTAAGGAATCTAGAAAATAGACTAATGGATGGTTGTTTTATTGCGTTGAAGTGTTTGTGTGCTGAGAGAAGTGGCTTGAAAATAAAGAGGGAAATAGAGAGAAAGAAGTGAGTGGGCATGTGGTTAAAGAAAAGGCATTGTCTGCCGCAATGCCAAACCTACTTTTGGCCATTGGACAACTTGTACAGCTTCTTGCAGAAACTTCTTCGGGGCTTTTGGGGGCTCAACACTTTTTCTTTTTTTTTTTTTTCTTTTTTAAAAAAAAAAAAAATCAAAATCAGGAAAAGGAAAAAAGCATTGTTCTTGTTTTGCAATAAAAGTTTTAGAACAAATTTTGGTCTGAATTAATCTCGATTCTTTTGTATGCCATCAAATTAGGTTTTAGAATTCCATATTTCATATTTGCACTCGAAAAGGAAAGAAGAAAAATCCTGTGATTAATTAAAAATATATATATATAGATTAATTGAAAAATAAAGAAATTAGGGGTGAGTGATGAAATGTTTAAAACGCCAGGGGTGGAGGGTGGAGGCAGGGAAACGAATCCTCTGACTCAAAGCCTGTTTGTTTCCTTATCTCAATTCTCAACTCTTTTGGGAGTTCTTTCTTTCTTCCTTCTCCGCCACTTCAAGATTTCTCCCTTTTTTAAACCTCTCCTCCCCCAAATCACTTCCTCAAATCTGCTCCTCACTAGATCCCACCATCCTCCCATTAAATCCCCTGCTGCATTTGGCCAAGCCCTTCTGGAACTGCCGCCCTCGTCGGCCGATGGAGAGCAACAACCAAGCCCAATCCTCCCCTTACCCTCCTCCTCAGGCCCCTGTTCCGGCCCCTCCCTTACACCACCTCCTTCAGCAGCAGCAGCAGCAGCTTCAGATGTTCTGGTCCTTTCAGCGTCAAGAAATCGAACAGGTTAATGACTTTAAAAACCATCAGCTTCCTTTGGCCCGCATTAAGAAGATCATGAAAGCCGATGAGGACGTGCGTATGATATCCGCTGAGGCACCCATTTTGTTCGCCAAGGCGTGCGAGCTCTTCATTCTTGAACTCACGATTAGGTCATGGCTCCACGCGGAAGAGAATAAGAGGCGGACATTGCAGAAGAATGATATTGCAGCAGCCATCACGAGGACCGATATCTTTGATTTCTTGGTTGATATTGTGCCTAGGGATGAGATCAAGGACGAGGCTGGGTTGGGTGGCATGGTTGGAGCCACTGCCAGTGGAGTGCCGTACTATTATCCGCCTATGGGCCAACCGGCAGGGCCCCCTGGGGGGTTGATGATTGGGAGACCAGCAATGGATCCCACCGGAGTCTACGCTCAGCCGCCGTCGCAGGCGTGGCAATCAGTGTGGCAGCCGGCCGCAGAGGATGGTTCTTACGCGAGTGGGGGCAGCAGCGGGCAGGGCAATCTTGATGGTCAGAGGTAGGTGTTTATGGTTATTTGTGTCATTTGAATTAGTAATGCACAATTTAAGAATACGTCTTTAAGCGTCATCTTGCGTTCCATCCAGATTTGTGCCATGATCAAGCTGAATTGAATTCTTTCTTTTTCATGTTTTTACTGATTCCACATTTACGTCTTCTTTATCGGGAGATTGCATGTTGGGATTGTTGCCTTTTTCCTCTTTCCTTACTATTGAGTAATCCCCCAACAAGAATGTGCTGATTTGATGAGTAATTTTCAGGATTTTATAGGATTTTGTCTCTTTGGTGCTGTTGGGTTTAAAGCTTCATTTTGGGTTTTGCTGTCTAATAACTTTTGTAATCTTTTCTCTCTTTTTGATGAATCTAATTAAATGTTTTAAAAGAAACCTTATCCTTTGGCCTTTGCTTGACAGGTTATCTTATTTTCCTCCCTCTCCCTCTCCCTCTCTTGTCTATATGAATCGCCCATCAAGTATCAATATCAGTAGCTTTCCTTTTTATTAATGCCAATTGGAGGAATTTTTGTAACCCTCTTGAATTGGTTGATTTCTTATCACTCACCCTTCTTTTATATCTTCTTTTTTCACGTAATGAAGATCTCTCTGTCTCTTAATGAAACAAAGGTTTCAAATCGACAGTAACAGCAATGGTTGAGGATGGTTGTGAAAGCCTTTGGATTCAATCAGTTGATTCTATAACAATAAAAAAAACCCTTTTAAGCACATCTCATGGTTATTAATTCGTTCACCACTTATGACTATTCAATGCTGTATGATGACAGATTTTACTATTTGAGAATATTAAAGGTGGAAATTTGAACTTACTACCTCATAGAGAAAGTAAAAATGTCTTTCAACTCCCAAGTTATATCCATGTTTCCAAAAGGTGTCAGTGCAATAAAAACAGTTGGAAGAGATAATTTGGAAATCAACGTCCTTGCATAAGGATGGATGAGGGTGTTGGTATTAGTGTTATAGATACCATTCCTTGACGAAGAAATGCCCCTGCATGGGGTCAAAAGCTCGTGTTGGTCACTTTTTAGTAGATTGGTTAAAGAATTGTTCAATGATTTAGTGCTCCCTCCTACTAAGCACAATTCTTCATAAAAATACATCCAATTAGGAACGAGGATGTGGCTGCTTGTGGATTGAGAAGGTGTTGAATAAAAGAGGACTATGTTGAAGTCTCCAAGGTGTGGACTGTGACCTAATCACTAATTACAATACTATTCTAATCACTAATTACAATACTATTCTAATCACTAATGAGGTAATTGAAGACGTAAGAAGAAGAAAGAAGGGTTAGATGGTGAAATTACATCTTGACAAAGGTTGGTTTTTTTAGAATATCACAGGTTGGTATTTTTTAGAATTGAATTTTCTTCTTAAAATCCTTCAGTTAGAAGATTTTGGTGCGAAATGGATGAGATAGATGCTCTTAGTAGGCTCCAAAACAGGAGTGGTAGCTAGCTTGCTTAAAGTATTAGAAATAGGCAAGGATGGTCCAACTTTTAGTTGCCCCCAATTCAATGGAAGATATTGTTCTTGTTTGATCATATGATGATGGAAACTTCAAAAGTTTGTTTATGATGCTGAATATATTTGAGAAGCACTCCGTGTTGAAAATAAATTTCAGTACATCTTCCATCTTCCCTTGCTGAGATTAGTACAGACGTGGAAGGCATTTGTGACTAGAGGTGGTGTGACTTGTGAGATTTAATTACAAGGCCCAGAAGCTTCCTTTCTGCTACACTTATGTCCACTCGATGATAGCCTCCCTCTTAAACACACACATATATCATCACATTAACTGTTCATCAAAGATATTTGAAAATAAATTGGCGTGCACATCCAAATACTGAAGGAAAGGTGTCAAAAATTTGTATGGAAGTTGATGTTCAAAATTATATCCCAACTTGTTTGTCATTCTTAGGGTTCTGATTCTGATTCTGATGTTTGTTTCCCCTGCAGTTAAGCAATTCTTGTGTAGATGATCTGCTGTGTGGTGCCAATGAAAAGATGATGCGTTTTGCTGATGCTATCCAGGGCGTAAAACTAAGTGTATTTTTCTTTTATGTTTCCTTCTTTTGGAACGGGGTTACCCTTAGAGACTTGTAAAAACTTTTACTAGATGTCGTGGAATTGACATTGCTTTTCTTAAATTGCTTGCTGTTTCTACGTTGCTGATATCAATTTGCTTTTACAATTTGGTTAAGATAACTTTTCTTACCTTGTTGACCTCAGGAGCGTTATGTTGGACTCCTTTTTTATATGTTTAGGACATGTTGTGTAGACTGAACAAACTCAAAGTGATGGTGAAAAGGGCAAGTCTTCTTGAATCTATAACATTAGATGTTGTTCCTAAGTGCAAAAATTAGATTCATTCATTTTTAACGCTTAAAAAATGGCTCTGTTGTAAACCCTTGATAGAGACAAAAAAGATGAACAAGAAAAGGGTGTGAAGGGAAAAGAGACCAAAGGAGGACTGAAATCATATCTTTGTTTTTTAGTTGTCTTACTTACACTTGGGATTATTTGTTTTATTATTTTATTTATTTATTTTAAATTAAGTTTATAAACTCTATTTTTGTTATCACTTTCTTCTACTATTGTTCTTTTTATATATATATATATATATATAAATTTAACACAGAATTTAAATTCAAATATTTAAGAAATTAAAAAAAAAAAATTGTTATTTTGACCGAAAATATATGAAAGGGCAACTTAATTTGTGGGAATCCAGGGATATCCAGCGGTAATAATAGCTGGTTAAAAAATAAATATAAATTCCAAGATCATTGCGAGCCACTACTTCATACACCAATTCCCTGCTGCTTGATCCCCCATCGCCTCATCCTTCACCATGTCATCAATGGCGGCGGCTACATCTCCCTGCGCCTCCAAATCCTTCTCCAAATCCTCCTCCTTTATTCTTCCTAAACCCTTCTCCAGATTCCATCTTTCATTTTCCCCTCTTCCTTGCAATCCCATTTTTCGCCGTCCTCTTCGCATCTGCAGCACC